AAGGATTATGGCAGCATTCACTAACTTAAATAAAGAGATTGTCTTGAAGAGCTGCAGGAAGTTTGTCTGGACGTCTTGATTAAAGCCAATGGAAATTATATTGAATAAATTTACTCTTTCGTATTTCAAGATATTTTTGTGAAATATTGAAATGATATTTCAGTATTTTATTCATTTTTGCATACGTTTGACGACAAATTATTCATCGATTGATATTGCATTTAATTTTTTGAAGCCTAAAGATGACTGGAAAGCATTGGAGGGAGTTCCACAAGCTAGAACTATGAGAAAAGAAATTGTTAGCATAGAATTTACGGTTACATCTCGTCAACTCAACTGCAACTTGAGATCTCTACCACAGTCTATTACTGCGCTTAAATTGAAAAAGTCTAAGTAGCAAATTACCAGGAAAAGTTTAATCCACGAAGAGGCAACCTTATGGCGGTGGGAAATTGAATGAAGCCGAGACGCCAGATCAGGAGCCAAAATAGTGCTGATTCTTCTTTGGATTTTATCAAGGATCACTAGATATGTTGCAAAACCATATGTGGCATAATATTCTAAACATGAACGAATGGTAAACTATATATATATATATATATATATATATATATATATATATATATATATATATATATATATAGTCGACTCTCCCGTCGAATTCGACGTATGAGGGTCAAGCAGATTAGTTCTCAGGAAACCGACAGCCCGACAACAGCACAAGAAATTTGATTATAGTGGTGAAGGTTTCGTGCAGGACCATCCACACTTTTTGTAGGGCCGAATTCAGAGACCTGGATGCACTACGTCCCACAAGGTCTCCAAACGACCCTTCGCAGGTTTTGAATTCAGAGTTGTACTTCTCCTAGACCAGTTGCCATCCAAGGCTATAGAATATAGTCTGTCCTGCTATTTACCCCTAGTTGGAAGGAGAAGAAGAGAATCCATACCTCTCCCAGGGGTATTAGCACGTAAGTACTGGAATTCGAATTCGGCTCTGCGATTCCTCAATCCAAGCCGTTATCCATTACTCCACCGTATATATATATATATATATATATGTTTGATATATTCTGGAGAGAAATAAATTTGTAGTACTACACAGTGAACGATCTTTCTTAGCAGGTGACTTAGTAATGGATTCAACATAGTCTTTTCATTTCATTTCAGCCGAGAACGTTTGCCCGAGAAAGCACAACGAGTCATTTTCTTGGAAGTTAGCATCAACCATTCTGATAGAAAGCAGAGAATGGTCTCTAAGATGATTAATAGACAGCAGTGTATTTTTGGAGGTTTTTAAATTAAAATGCCAGTAATTCCCTTTGTTAACAACAGACTGAATATACTTTTGGACATCAGCTGCCAATTTGATCATATCGAAACAAATCACACTTGCTTATCGAGTTATATTTTATTCTTTTATATTGGCAAGTTGAGTTACCTTATATCTATCGTTTCATGAGGGCGCCTCGAGGCGGTGTAATGGTCAGCAAGTTTATCTCGCTAGAACAATTACGACTGAGTATTGAGTTCGATCCTCACTGGGTGCCCCCTACTTTCGGCCTTGTGCCACATCTAAGCTACGCTTGGAAAATCACTCTCGAGGCGGTGTAATGGTTAGCAAGCTTGTCTCGCTAGAACTATTACGACTGAGTAGTGAGTTCGATCCTCACTGTGTACCCCCCTAATTTCGGCCTTGTGCCACATCTAAGCTACGCTTGGAAAATCACTAGGGCACTTCGGCGTGGTGTAATTGTTAGCAAGCTTGTCTTGCTAGATCAGTTACTATTGAAAAGTGAGTTAGATCCTCACTGGATGCCCCATATTTTCGACCTTGTGCCGCATCTATTCTACTCTTGGAAAATCTCTTTGGGAACCTCGATGTGGTGTAATGTTTAGAAAGCTTGTCTTGCTAGATCAGTTTCGACAGAGTTGTGAGTTCGATCCTCACTGGGTATCCCAAACTTTCGGCTTAGATAATCCCTATATCTATCGTTTCAGTACTTAATTTCACCATCGTCATTTATATATAATCCTTTGATCGAACTTTAGTGTCACTTTGCTTTTTACGCTATCTTTCTAGTTTGTTCCTTTATCAATCTTTAATATCAATTGCCATGGTCATCCAGTTCTTCATTTTCCCTTTTTATTACGTTTTCGAACATAACAGGTGATCTTTATTTCTTTTTTCAGGTTAATCCTTTACTTTAGTCTCTCACCAAATATTTTAGATTTTTCTACAATTTATTTAACGACTGTGATATTAATGAAATGTTGTCAGGTAAAGTAGACGGCTCATTAATATCTGTTTATACCCATTCATTCCCAAATCAAGGCACGCTATAAATTATTTTGGTAAAATTCTTTTCTTTTTCATCCCCAATTTTACAGTCGGTAAATGATCGTTGAGCTGGTGTAGGCAGTCTTCCATATGTAGCCTATGTTTCCGACATCTGATATTTACAATTACATTTATTCGGCTTGAAGCAACATTCAGTACATTTGCTTATTTTCGAATATAACGGAGTAACGAAAATATAAAAACACCATGCGATAATATAAAATACGTATGTAATGAATTCATATAAATAAGATAATGAATATGGATCAAGTATACATTATAATCCCTTATAAAAAATACTAGAATTATGATACACATACAGACATGACATATACGTAGAAACGCTGCTTGACAAGATTGATGCACGTAAGGTTTCCAGTGAGAAACAAATATCGTAAAAATTAAATTTGGAGAATTTTATTTTTCTCCTCCATATTTTAATATCCTACGTTTGAATAAAAGCAAAAAAAAAAAAATAGATTTATAAACGTTTCCTATTTGTTCTTTGATTTGGTTTTACGGTATATCAACCTCAATGTGTTATTTAATGAACGATTTTTAGAATAGGTTCGTATGAATAGAATATATAAGTAAGAAATCCGTTTGAAGATCAGCTTGCATTGGCGTATTTTTGCAAAGAGGGTTTTTTGTCGACAGTTAAATTTATTGCTGGTAATATATTTTTTTTCAAAAGTTTGTTGCTAGCAATATTTTTTTTAATGTATTGCTGGCATTTTTCAAAAATGTATTACTGGTATTTTTTACGATAAACATCTATTTTTATACTTTCCCCGTGTTTGACACAATTTGGGGGTTAACTATTTGCCCATAGCTGGGACCCCTAACAGATGCTTCCACTCCAGGTCAGGATGGACCTGGAAGCAACAGCAATCAAGAGTTGGTTTCATGTTCCTCAAAACCTCCTGATCAGAGGCCATGCTGTCGGATGTAGTTTATCGTCATACCCAGGACACTGTTGTTTATGCTATGAAATAGAATACTGCAAAAATGCTACAGGACTATCGTAGTTTTCTGTTTTATTCTTCAATTATTTATTTTCGTTATACTCATCTTATTTCATTCGCAGTCTTATTTCTATGCTTTTTATTTAGGTGTTCGTTCTTTCCTGGCTTAAATCCGTCCTCTTGATCTCTTTTTCACCTCATTTTTTTGCTTTATTTCCTTCAATCATTGTTTATTCACACTATTTGATGCTATGCATTTTTTTTGTCTTTTTATTCATTAATCGTTTTTTTTTCTTTCCTTCATTTATACTTTGTAATACATTCTGATTTTCCTACTGGTTTATTATCTCGTCTTTTAATTGTCTTTACTCGTGCTTTCTTTCTTTTTTAATTTCCTCTTTTTTTCTTTTATTTTTTCTTATTTCATGACATTGTTCCGTTCGTCATTCGCTTTTGTCCTTTTTTTTTTTTAAATACTTCTACGGTTTTCTCATTACATTTCATTCCGTCAACTTGTTCATCATTATTTATTTTATTCAACCTTCCTTTTTCTTCTCCCCACCATCCACAATCACCTTTTTCATTTTCATTCTATAAGCCGCCATTATACATAAATAAAGCCTACTTTAATCACACGACTAGCCGCCATGTCTCAGAAAATAGCACCTGTACCCTACCGGTCTTCCACCCGAACGTCGCCTGAAAGAAGCGAAAAGGCGGAGATTCGCCAAACTAGTAATTATAATCATCAATTTCAAATCAGTATGCAATGACATTATGCAATCAATATGAAGCAAATTGGAAGAAAGTGGCGAGTAACGGCCAGAGGAAAGTCACTCCATTACCGTGCTAATCAGTTTCTGAGTCTCTCATCATTCCGCAAAGATTTTCTCTATTTTGGATTGCGTCGATGGAACCATTTAGTGAAGTAATCTGCACATATGATTAGTTGTGCATAAAATATTTCTTTCTTGGCACAATTCGCTGTGATGTATTTTAAGTTGGTTTATTATTTGAGATTGCTCCCGCACGCCATGTAAGCAATTCTATATTCCTTTAAATATTTGCTTGACACAAGGATGTATATTTGGAGTACGAAATGATAAATCATCTTAATTTCTAAAAAGTTTGCAAGACCAATTATCTCCCTTGCTTAAACACATGTAAACAATGTTTTGCCTTCGATATTAGTACAATGTCGTTATTAGGATCTTTTTTAAATGTAAACAATTGTTTTGTTCAGAAAGTGAACATTTGATCTATGATGCTCTATATGATCTGAAACGAAAGAAATTCTATTATAATTCTATTTTTTTTATTTTTATTTCCTTAGTTAAATATTAAGTTACGCCCTGTTATTATTGCAGAAAAAAATGGACCATTTCTGACGGTAGACGAAAGAAAATATATATCAAAGACGCTATTTCGTTTTAGGTGTTATTAATTGATCCGTGTTCAATGGCTTATCCATCCTTTGCTGGTTATTCAAAATCAAATACTTTAGATTTGAGATAATAATGGTTTAGTGATACAAGAATTACTAATTTATCCATAGCTGGGATAAAGGTTGGATTCATACTTTTCCTGAATGTTTTGTGCCTACGTGAATATAGTGAGTCCAGCAGAAATTGGAACTTGGATCTTCGATGAACAATACTGAGCAATTATTCATTACATCACCTACACATTCAAGT